TATGGCTTTTCTCCGTACCTCTGGGCTGTGGTTGCTGGACAAATTCGCGCCACTGACGAACTTTTAAGCGGTGGTGCCGATGTCGATTCGGCAAGCGCGGATGGAAAGTCTGCACTGGCTTGGGCAGCCAGTTTGGGCAGATCTTCAATTGTTCAATCGCTTCTGAAGCACGGTGCCAGCATATCTGGGACTGGAAATATGCAGATGGAGCCGATGGGAGAAGCAGCAGCTTCTGGCGACTTTCACACTGTACAATTGCTCCTCACATCTGGTGGAAATCCAGATTATCGTGATCGTGATGGTTGGGCTGCTATACATTGGGCAGCAGAGGAGGGCCATTTGGAGATTGTGCGTTTGCTGTTAAACGAAGGGGCCAACGTCAATACTGTCAGCACTTACGGTACTTCGCCGTTGCACTGTGCTGCAAACGGGGGTCACGTTTCCATTGTGAGCTTACTCCTCCTACAGCGAGCCGACCCACTTAAGTCAACCTGCCACGGTTGGACTGCTCTGCATCACGCGGCCTTCATGGGGCATGCTCACGTTGTCCAGCGCCTTTTAGAGGACGATCGCATAAGATCCAATGCCTCTCAGCAGGACAACCATGGCTGGTCCATTCTTCATCTGGCTGTTCATAGTCAAGATCTAGCTACTGTCAATGTCCTGCTTGGCAGCTCTGTCAATACAGACCTTCGGACTTTGTTCGATGAAAGTGGCCACACTGCAGAAGATTGGCTAGATATTAGCCGTAACTACAGGGCGACTAGGGACTTAGCTTTTGGCAAGTCACGCTGTTGCAGCGTTGTCACAGGCTTACGACAGGCTGTTATCATCGGCAACATTCCTATGATCAACCTCCTCGTCAGACTGGGTCACAATGTTAATGGCACCAATTCCGGTAGAAGAACCGCTCTTTACTACGCTGCGAAAAAGCGTATGCTTTCCGTCATGGATCTGCTTCTCGATAGAGGTGCGGATCCTAATATCCTCCCAGCAGGACGCAAAACTTGGGTAGAGTTTATTTCAGATAAGGATGTTCTACATCGACTCAACGGACCTGGCTACAAAAAGCAAGATAGCCGTATCGCAGGAGATATCGATCTCTATATCAGGCATGAACTTAGAGCGCAAGGTCAGCCCTCTGTTCCGGATCGATCAGCCTCACCTGTACTGGACGATTCAACTTCACCGATACCGAACCAATCTACCTCACCTGTGTCAGACAGATTGAGCTCATCTATGCCGGCTCCGTCAGCTCCATCTTTCCCGGAGCATTCATCTTCAAATTTGCCAATACGCCCACTAGTGCCTTTACACCAAGCCAATGATCGTAAACGCAAAGCGGGGGCAATTCGGTCCGGCGCGACAAGCTTTTGGAACCGGCTGATAAGATAGCGAATCCCGAATTTATTTTCCAAAAGCGAGAGTGGGAAATGACGGTTACATGACTAGGTCATTGATTTGGCTACAATTTTTTCTACTACTTTCCTATGTGAAATGATTTGTAAGAAACGCTATATCTTGCCTTCTAAGGTTTCAGGAGCAGGAAGAACATGGACTCAGCTAAGCAGTGTCCAGAGCATATAATTGAGTTGGTTGAGGTTCTACAATGACCGTGAGAACGGTATTTTTAAGTACATGCTGAAGATATATAAACTAGCTTAAAAGAGTGAAATTGAGGTCTCCGGGAGCTCCTTTAGGAAGTGATATTCCAGTAGCATTTCGGGGTTTCTAATTAGGAATGTTAACCCCCAGCCAAACACTATACGTAGATTCATAGATCGTAAGCAAGTAAACAATCTGTTGACTGGAAGTAGATTTCGAAAATTAAGAGATGGATTCTAGGTAAAGTGGGTTGTTTTAAGTAACTGTCACTATACCAACGCACAACGCGAGATTTGTGTGTACGCGCTAGAGAGCCCACAAAAGAATTTGATAAGGCCCTCACCACTACTGAAGTCTTATTGTATAATAGTTGAAAGAATAAGTATTATAATACACACTAAGAAGTAATCGAGTTTTTCTTCACTTTTAAGCTTTGAATAAATCAAATTATAATACTATTTGAATATTTATATATTGAACTTTAATATACCGAAGTATTGTTAAAGTTATATTTTATTTAAAATTATTTAAATTTCAAATAAAATTATTAGTTTTTTAATTAATTATAATTTAAAGTTCTATATGAAGTCTATAAAAAGCATTAGATATTTTAAAAACTATAAAACTATCAAATTAATAAAATATACGGCAAATTACTCTCATACCCCCCAAATATCATTTAGTTACTCTTATACCCTAAAAATCATATTTGTTTTATTCTCATACCCCTTTAATTCTATTATAGAATTTATTCATTTTAAATTAAATTCTATATTAGAGTAAAAGTAGATTCTATAATAGAAAAATAGATTCTATAATAAGCAATAATAGAGTAGGTTCTATAATATAGTAATTTATAATTATATAATTTTTGTATCTTCTTCAAACTTAGAATCTAATCTTTTGAGATTAGAATCTATAATAGAATCTATAATAGAATCTAAGGAATATAAGAATAAATCACCTTTCAAATTTAGGGTATGAGAATAATTAAATGAAATTTGAAGGGCATGAGAGTAATTTGCCGTAAAATATAATAAAAAGTTTCGAAATTTTGAATTTTAGAGAAATAGTTTAATATCTATTAGAAAATTTTAAAGCAATAATAGATTTAGTTAAAAAAGCAAGTTTTCATTAAAAGTGGGTTTTATACAACTTACCCTTCCAACCATCGTACTTTCACAAACCTTTATATATGCCTATCTTAAGTATGCTCAGATCATATACTTAACACGTGCGTTCCACTCTGTCATATTATGAATAGATCAATTCGTTTATAACTCCAGTTTCTTAGTTAATAAAATATCTCATTTGTGAAATGAACTATGACATAATGGAACAAGGCATATTGGATACAACTATCCCTTAGATGCCACGAGTAGATTCCTTTCAACGCGACGATGAACGCTACGTGGTAGTTCACAAATCAACGATCTGATTTAATATACTCTGAACGCGTGGCAATAAATGCAGATGCTGTCTCACTGTCTGTCTCAGCGTCGCCGCGGGCAGTGCCAAGCCATATTGCTTTCCAATGATCAAGCATTCCACAAGGGCTTTGCACGCCCGCTTCTGAAGCAACCCTGGAGGTTCTTTTGATATTAAGGAACTCATTATCTCTGGGATTGCCTCGCCAATCAGCCATTTGTGGGCGATGGCATTCTCCTGGCACAGTATCAAGCATGATGCAGAGGGTATATTGAGAAAACGATCCTGACCCTTCTCTTGACAACGCCGAGCAAATTGGAGGATACTAGTTAGGAAGAGAAGTAATCTTGGAGAGTCATGGCTCGCGCTGATGAAAACTAGCTCATTGGCGCATGCCTGGTTTACATCGCTGAACAGCTCAATCTCGTGGCTGCTGCCGATATATCCTTCGTAGAATTCTGCGATGACCCTTGAGAAGTATTCGATCGGCCGTGACTCCTTGTTCTCAAGCATGGCGAAGTGCGATGTCAACAGTACCACAATCCGAGCAACGTTCTCTTCTCGGTTGCCACTTTGAATACAAACATCGAAATCGTTCAAAAACTCGCGAACGCCGTAGTGCAAGAACTCCTCTGCGCCTCTGTTGTAAGCGATGGCTGTCCAATGTGAGAAAGCCCTGGCTGTGATGGCATCTCCTTCTCTCCATCCGTGCCTAACAGCTGCAAGTTTAGTTTCAGAGCCGACAACAACTGCGATCACCAGCAGTGCTTGAAGATCTCCGAGAGCGACCGCTCGAAACACTTGCGTCGGCAGGTCGGTCATGGCCACAAGCCTTCTAGGGTTCCTAACAATAACCAGATGGACGAAGAACTCGCGATAAACTTCGGCCCACTGCCGCAGCTCGTCTATTTTATTCTCCTTTACAAGCTCCTGCAGTACAGACATATGCTCCCAACGGTCGAGTGTCACAAGTTTCAGATATAGTGTTGCCACTCGAAGAATGATGGGAAAGCGGAAGGAAAGGCTCAGGGCCTTCATGATCATGCCAACTTTTCGCGACGCCTGCTTGTATCGCGCAAGAAAGATCTGTTCCTGAAGCCCCAACAGCTCTTGCACCCGCTCCTCCAATGGATCCGTAGGTCCTCTCAGTGAAGCGACTCCTAAAGGAGTTGGCAGTTTGTCTACGCGCGCTCCGTGTTCAAGCAATATTTGTATGATTTCCCTTGAATTCGCCTGAATGGCTCGCATCAATGCAGTATCGCCATGCTCAGATTTGCTCTCGAGGTGGGCACCTTGTTTAAGCAGCATAGACACGATGTCCTTGTACTGTGCAGTGACCGCGATATGGAGTGTTGTCAGATTACTTCGATCTTTGAAATTGACATGAGCGCCATGATCAAGCAATAATTTCACCATAGCTCGGTGGCCTCGGTTGACGGCCCAGGAAAGCGGTGTCCTCCCATAATTGTCCTTTCGCGAAATGAGGCCGGGATGCTCGCTGATCAACATCTTGGCCCATTCAACATTGTCAAAGTATGCCGCGAGATGCAACAGCGTGAACGAGGGCGGGTTTCCACCGTTTTTCTCCTGCTCCCAATAGAATTGCCACCATTCGTTACGGACTGGAGAAGAGACTTGGAAGAACGGGCGGGAGAAATCGAATGGTGCATCAAGCACATCAATGGCGTAATGAAAATGTACTGGCCAGTATTGACTTGCATAAGCCAACAGGGTATTACGGCTAGACCTGTCATCAATGCCCCCAGGAGTTTCGTAACCACGTTCTACGTGGGCTAGGCAGGTCCGCATAAGAGCCCTGTGAGTGTCCTGGCTCATGCGGAACATGCTGATCCCTTTGATATTAACTTGATCACTCTGAAAGAACTCCTTCGCTGACTCGTGAACCAGATTGACTACATCTCCTTCAATTTTCACGAGTAGCCCGCAAATTCTAAGCCGATTCTTTATCACTTCAGTTGCTGTAAAGGTACCTGATGATTTGATCTCTGTGGCCACTGTCAATTCATCCACTGTGAGGGGTCGGGCAGCGAGAACAATCCATTGAAAAATAGGGACCAAAGCTTCCTTGTCGTCAATTTGCTGAAGCAGCCGCTGGTAGACCCCACCAAGGCCTTTGGGGACACGACCGAGAATTTCATTAATTTTGTCCCAGTCCCTGCCTAGAAGCTCATTGGCAACGAATCCAACCCATAGAAAGGTACTATCAGCGCCAGCCAACAAGGCCTGTTGAATATGCGCAACCTTTTCTTCAGAAAGATTTTGCTCAGATGCTAGTTCAGCAACTTTGGCGAAAATATATCTCTGGACATCATGCGAAACCTCTGTATCGGAGTCATCTAACTTGATCCGCTGATATTGACCGAGTTTGTTCTCCAAAATAGGTGGCTGGGGTCGAGAGAGAATAATGAGCTTTAGTCGTGGCCTTGATTTTACCCGAGAGTTCGACAAATAACCCCCAATAGTATCGAGAAGCCGCCTGAGCGATTGGCTTTCACATTCGTCTAAACCGTCTAGCACACAGACTATCTGTGAAGACCCACTCTGCCAAAGCAGGGTCAGAAAAACCCTCCACAGGGAGGCTAAGTTAGAAACAGTATATTTGGTCGTTTCGGTTCCCTCAAAGGAGTGCTTGATATATTGTGCCAGATGTGGACAAAGATTGATCCATTGATGTATAATGCCTCTCATGATGGTCAATGCGCTGTTGCGGTTCTTATCACGATTACTACAGAAGTAGTAAAGGAGAACATTTCCGGCGGCGTCAATCACTGGCTGTAGTACTTCAGTAATATAGATTGCCAGCATGGTCTTTCCTTTTCCGGGACCACCTGAGATCCAGAGGAGTGGCTGACCGGCGTCTGCCAGCCATTCTTGATAGCTGGGGTGTTGCGTAAGCCATTCGCAGGTGCCGTCAACTCTACGCCCTTTCAATGCAATAAGTGATTTTCGGTCAACTTCGGGTCTGGTCAAGAGCAAAGCGTCAAGCACCGGCCTGGCCTCGACATATCTACTTGTTGCAAGAGGTATCACCTTGGGAACTGCGGGAATAAAGGAAAGAACCTCTTTTGCGTATGCTGCAGCAGCTACCGCGGCGTAGGCGTGCCAGAGCTCGCCACTGTGTGAATCTGCATAATCGCAAATTCCTCGTATGACTAAGTACTGGGCGACATCCTTCAGGCCAGCTGCCTCCGTCTCCCAACAGAGGATGTTTTGCTTACGCGCCAATTTATCCCGAATCGCTCCGTCGCGCATCCAATGATGACTGGACGCAATCAGTCCATAATGAACTCTAGGGTCATGGTTCTCACGTGGTTGCCGGGGTCGGATCATATCCGGGTTGCAATGATTGCATCCGTTTTCTTCGGATGTGATGATCGTATGTTCACAATTCGGGTCAAAGAGAATGTCTTGCACGGAGCCTGGATGGACAAAGGTGACAGGGTCTTTCCGTATGATCTTGGAGATGTACTGGGACATCTGACTTTCATCGAAAATGGCGGCTGTCTCGGCCTTGCCTATAGCTGTGAGAAGTAACGGTGTTGGCTGAGCTAACACTCTGCCGCGAATAGACTCATCTTCCGCTCGCTTCCCGTTCGCGTCGTATTGGGCGACACCCGGCCAGCCAGCTGCCGATCTGCTTACAACGATATCGCCAAGACGAATATCCACCTTCGTTTCTGGCACTCCTCCCGCAATTCCAACCATCAGTCTGAACCGAACAGATGGGAAACTCGCGTGCAGCTGTGTAGCTATGCCCGCTACTGATGTCTTACCATAAACGCCGACCTTCGGATATGCAACAACGACATTGTGACTTTGGAGACTCCCTAGAATATAATTATTGTTGTTGTCCAAATTCTGATACCAAGGTAGGTTGTCATGAATGCGATCAAGTGTCGCTTTAGCTGCTGCTACCTCTATGGGCAGCGCGCAAATCCATCCAACCAAGTAGTCGTCACGGGACGCCATCCTCAGGCAGAGCTCAGATCCACAATGAGACAGCAAAGAATGATAGTGTCGATTGCTGTCTTACTTTGTAACTATATTCTAATTTGATATGGCAACTTATGATTCAGCGGCCTTGCGTTTGTAGATGCTCATGAGATTGGCGATTTTTTAAGAGAGATCGGAACTCACTCCTCCAGCCTTTCTGAATACAATTCATAGGTACTGCTATGGCACAGGCGACTTTTACTGTAGCACTGTCGCATTGGTGTGGCACGAGTTGTAGTAAGTGGATACAATTAGGAGATTGTTTTGAATACGATTTATATCAATCACCTAAACCGTTTAAGGTATAGAAAAATTAAATACCTTGGATCTACATTAAAAGTTTTTATATACAATTATAATAAATGTTATAACAAATACCGAAATGACATTCTTTCCTTAATTAATATGTAAAATGATACTACGTAATAATGAAATAATACTTTTGTATTATATAAAAGTCTAGTAGACAGTAAAACCTTTAAAACTTTTAAAACTTTAATATGTTTAATATCTTCTAATATTATATTAAATAAAATAAGAATTAGTAGCTAGACTAAGTTTTTAGGGTTCTTTTAGAGCAAAATATTTAATTGTTAAGTTATAATTGAATAAAGTTATTTGAAGTACTAGAATAAAATAATAGTATAGGTAGTATTCTAGAGTTAAAAGTTAATATTGTTATTAGAAATAGACAGCAAGTTACGTATAATATTATAATATAACGATATTATTTAAGTCTATATATAGTAAGATAAACACGTGAAAGGTTTTATATGCTTGGGCACGGACCATATCACGTGCTTTCTAACAATTATAATCAAGTTATATTCTCTTCTTATTTAATCGATAATTAATTTATTTTTGTTAGGAATATTATTATATATAGCCTTAGTAAAAAGAATCCTGGTATTATCAAGATACTATATTCAGGTCTATAATATAATATAATAGAGCTATAATAGTCTATATAGATATATCTCCCTTTAATATTGAAAAATATCAGAGTGTTATAGGGTTGATACTAGCTCTTCCGGATCCTGATTCTATTAGATTATATATATAAGAGTAAGGTAAAACTATCGGTTTTACCTCCTGGTCTCTTAGGTTTATAGCTCAGCGGTAAAGCATCTAAATACTCTCAGATTATAATTACTTATTATACTAATGAAATAATACTCTCGATTCTATATTTATTATTCTATATGAACTATTATCTACCTCAACACCTCCTTACAATTTTATATAATAATTTTAAACAAAAATTTACTATTAAACAGTCTTAATTATAATTAATATTTACATATATCTATATTTTATTTTATTAATTGATTTAGAGTTGTATATTAAAGAGAATAAATATAAGTACTCTTTGAATACTAATTGAAACAAATAAACAAATTTTATATATTACTTAAAAAAAGAATATCATTTCTAGTATTTATAATAAATTTAATTATAAACTTGTTATCATATAATAATAATAATTATAAGATGTTAAAGTAGATAATAGTTCATATAAGATAATAATTATAGTATCAATAATATTATTTCATTAATATAATAAATAACCTTCACCTTCTTTTAATACTTAAAGGAGATATATCTATATAGACTACTATAGTTCTATTATATTATATTATAGACTTAAGTATAGTATTTGAATAATATTAGAATCCTCTCTATTAAGGTTATATATAATAATATTCCTAATAATGATTTCATCTAGATAATACTTAATCGTCTTATTAATGAATAATAATTATATAAATCAATTTAAAGATATTACTATTAATATTAAATGAGTTAATCTACGTTAAGAGATTGTTATATATAATTAAATAAGCGTTGTTTTGTAGTATTAGTAGAGGTACTATGGAAGCTACGACTAGGGTTATATGGAAATGAGTAGAAATTTTTCGAAATAATTCAAACCAAATTTCAAATAGGAATTTAATAAGATTATAATTAATTATGATTCTTATAATTATAATATAGAACTAATAACTATTTTGAATATAAAGCTTTATATTATAATAAAACTTATTTCTTTATATAGATCTTTATATTTTATAATGTCATGCTAAAAGTGACGCCACTAATAGCCTTAGACTAATTGGGTTTATATAGGCATTTCTTCTATGATATACCCCCGAGATTACTGACTAGCTGGTTATAGACAGTAATCTCTTTGTACTAGCCTCATTGAGTTATATATACGCAAATCTCTTCCTATACCCTTTTGCTACCAAATCTAGATTCTCTTATTGAATACATCTAATAGGCTGTATGGATATAGGGGCCTAGAGCAATATCTACATCTTATCTCTAATAGGCCAGGATTAGAGGACCAAAGTGGGCCTGATAGAATGCTTTCTTATAAGTGGGTCCACCAAAAACCCTGTAAGAGAGCACAGTGAAGTAAAGAATAATACTATTAAACTATAAACGTATACCGAGCTTATAACTATTATGTTAAAAGTGACGCTACTAATAACCTTAGACTAATTGGGTTTATATAGGCATTTCTTCCGTGATATATAAATTAATAAATCAATTACTATAAAGCCGATCTCAATAAATCGATTTTCTAACCATATAATATTTAATCTTATAATTTATAATAATATTATTACTTATTTAATCTATATTTATTAACTAATCTATAATTATTATTTATTTTATATTTATTATTAAAAAAATTAATAAAAATAGATATTTATCTTTTCTTAATTATTAATTACTTATTTAATTAATTTTATTTTTAATTACCTTTTAATTCTATAATTTTTAAAATATTTTGTTTGTAGGTCCCAATATTAAGTACTTGTATTTATATTATAATCCATATTATAGTACGGGTATCTCCATAATAGGCAGGTCTTTTTATAATTGAAAGATTATAAATCTTTGCGATGATTACTATGGTTAGAAGAAGTAGTTACAAGGTTATTTCTTCCTTTTAGGAGCATCAAGATGCCTCCGCACGCCCCTCCATGATAAGCTGTAACAGGGCCCCAGAATATTTGGGAGATTATGTCCTGCCTCGCTTCTGCATGTGCACCATGACCAGCCATCGTGCTAGGCCATGTTCGTAACCCTACAATATGTCTCCCAGCCTTTCACAAAAGAGCAGGTTTGAATCTCAATGAAATGTTCGTATCTACCAATATAGAATATAAAATCATGAATAATGATGATTCTCAGGGCCTACTGAAGACCGTGCTTGGGTTCTTCGCCCGGAAACGACCGGAAAAATCAACGCCCGCGTCATTGAGATCGCGGACACATGATGCCTGGCTACGGACGGATGCATATCTACAGCATGATAGCGATGGATTTGGTGAAATTGATCCTGGGCGCCTTGCGAAAACACTACGCGCATTCGAAGACTATGTTCAAAATGACTCTGATCGAGAATCAGATTCCGTGAGTGCACCTGATATATGACAAGCTCCAGTTTCTCAGCCTTTTACTTCCGGCCCACTAACGCAACGTTGCGGAGCAGAATTTATCGCACGATGTGCCTTATCCAAAGCTCCAGACGATGCGCAGCATGATCGAGGGTCCGACTTATGATTCGCGATTCAATGCAGGCACTACCATTCGCGTTAGTAAACGAAAACGAGAAAGTGACGCTGTCATTCAGGAGCTTTCAAATTTAGACAACGAGGCAAAGAAGCGTCGAGTTCTTCCTCGTGAAGAGCCAAATGCTGGCGACAATCTCGAAGACCCCGATGCTGACTTCGCCATACTAATGAGGAGACATCTGTTGTCCTTAGACAATGCGCTACGAAAAAACTGGATATGTGTTTGTCAGAAGTGTTCAGGGCTGAGCGTGAGACTTTCAATGCCTCAACAGAAGCAGGGTTTCAAAGTTGAGACGTCCTTCGAAGTGTTTTTTGGAGTACGCTCCCTACTTGCAACTACATTGCAAGAAGCGAAAATAACGGTCAAGTGAGCTTTTGAAACTTCGTGCGACGACATGAACTAACAATTTCGCGGTAGAGACATAAAAGAAAACAGGACAAGGAGCGCATCTGAGCCTACGGCCAGCAGTACACCAAATTTTGCCCACATATGCCAAACCATTACAGAATCCCTCGGTCAGCGAAATTGCTTGCACTTGGCGCTTGAGAACGGGATATTCCAGAGGCTTCGTCCGCAGCCAATGACCTTTAGTGGTGATCGAATGTCTCGAACAGTATCCTTGTCGGCCTTATTCAATCGCCAACAAGAATTACGTGGTAGTTCATCCGCGTTGCCGCTCAAGGGGAAGCGAATCTTGGCCGTTACGCTAGCTACAGCGCTCCTCCCATTCTTGGAAACACCGTGGCTGCAGCCTTCATTCAATCACTCTAAAATCCTATTCTTTCAGCCACTGCAGGATGGGGAGCTCCCCAACATCACAAAACCTTTTCTGGCCATGGGGCATATTCCGGTTGTCTCGGCCGGCAAGACAGACGTGGAAGTCAGTTCCGACAGCTACAAACATATGGTTCATCCCAATGCTAGTGTACTAGCACTAGGTATACTCTTGTGTGAGCTTCAGTATTGCACGCCTGTGGAGCTGATGCAAAAGGATAAGTACCCCACCAGGAACGTCAATACTGATTATTATACTAGCCTTGATATGCTTAACACTCTAGAAGTTGACGCTGGCGTAGACTACTATCTTGCTACGAAGGCATGCCTGCAGTGGGAATACTACCCCCCTGGACAGCAGGCTGATTTCGAATCTGTCAGCGTTCAACGGCTCTTCTATCAAAATGTTGTCAAACGACTCGAGGCCGAGATATTCAAATCGTGGAGTCTTCGAATAGAGGATTTGAGCACGTTCGATTCTCGAGAGAATGAACTTTGCTGGGGCTCCATTGGTCGAGAAGTCGTCCGCAATCAAGCAGACAAGACAGATCCCTCTGATACAAATAGCGGAGCACAGGCTATTCCGCATCTTCCGAGTCTTGACGTCACGTCCATGAGCCACCCATCACTGAACTCACATATGGTGCTAAGGATGCCGGTTCAGCCTTCTCTGGGACCGCAAATCCACCGACAGCTCGCCGAACCTTCAACGAAAAGCTTGTACTTTTTCGACGCAAGCCACCACACGGGTTATGAGCAAGAGTAACGAGTTTTCCAGTGGTCATGATGATTTACTGTACTAATGGCCTGGCAGGAATCATCTTTCGCAAAAATGGATGGACAGTCTTCTGTCCTCGATTCATCACCATGTTGATCCTTTCAGTGCTGTCGAAGCAGGGCGCGAACCGGTGCGAATAGCAATTTTGGATTCTGGATTTGACCCCGAAAATCCACTTCTGATGACTGAGGACCAGCGACTAGATCCACGAATCAAGGCTGCGCAAAGCTTTGTAAATCAAACAGAATCAGACGACATTCAAGACGAGATCGGGCATGGCACTCATGCTCTTGGTCTCTTGCTCCAGGTTGCCACATGCGCAGAGATTTACATCGCCAGAATTGCGCATCGAGAAACTTTGAATCGCAACACTTACGATGACATTGCAAAGGCAAGGCTGGCACTATGCAGGCTCTTTTTGTAGGTTGAGCTAATCATTTATATAGGCCATTAACCACGCAGTTTCTGAATGGAAAGTGGATATTATATCAATGTCCTTTGGAATTCGTGAATACAACGAGCCGATGAAAACAGCTATATCTAATGCACTACACAGTCAGACATTATTGTTCGCTGCGGCATCGAATGACGGAGCAAATCTTGGCAGAGCTTTTCCAGCAAAATATACCGGCGTCTTTTGTATACACTCAACTGATGGAAACGGTAATCCTTCTGCTTTCAACCCAACAGCAGACGACAAAGACGTTAATTTTAGTCTACTCGGGGAGCATGTCTCTTCTCACTGGCCAGCTGGTAAGAACGGCTACAATCAACCTGTCAATACTCTGTCGGGAACATCAGTCGCAACACCAATCGCCGCTGGGCTTGCCGCGTCGGTTCTGTCCTTTGTCCGGCAGCAAGAACGGCGCGTCACTTCAAGAAACGAGTTGCTGGGGCCGTGGCTGAAAGATTCTCATTCGATGGATGCGGTTCTAAAGAGCATGGTCAAACAAACGAGGGGCGCAGGATATGACTACGTCACGCCTCATGTCATCTTTGATAAAAGTTCGACAAGAGAGCATGTTTACGACAGGCTCAAGGATATCAAAAGACACATGTATGACTAGAAGTCCAGGAATGATCCAGTCAAATTCAATCTGTACACAGTTCACTTCATCTCAATTGTGTTTCAAAATTTGTTTACATGAATTAAGCCGGGACGCAATAGACACTACCATTCTCGGTCAAATCATGAACTTCTTTTGCAGTGTTGATAGTCGACCCATCCACCTCCTCAACCAAAATAGATGCGTCTTCTTCTTCTTGTCCACCAATATCCAGAAAGGCGCCCTTGTTGTACTCTTCAACCTTCAGTCTCCGTCCAAATTTAAGTCTTTTCACGCGGAAGGCAAACACAAATTCAGAATCACGATTGAATTCGGTCCCATCATCAATCATGCTGATCCAGTGGCCTTTGGGGCCAAACGTTGTACCTAGCGCAGTCACATCGACACCAATATTCCCTGTAATCGACGTACTCTGTGAAGTCGAGTATTTGATTCTCGCGCCTTTGACGAGCTTCAGGCCCGTGACAAGGTAGAGCGAGACAACAGGTGCGAATCTTTGCTTGGGCTCCCTCAGCCACGTTTGCACGGCAAGTGCTTTGATTGATTCTTCTACATATTCTTGTGTCGGTTCAAATGCTAGAGTCGTCACCGTGTTAAACGCGAACGCATTTGCCCTTTTGTTCGAGTGCTCAACGTCAACTTCAGGGCCAAATGGTAATCCACCGGTAGCCAGCTGTAAAAATTGTGCATAAACACCCAAACCAAGCCCTTTCTCTGTTGAAATGGTCTTCTTCCAATCGTTCTCCACCACAGGTGGGATAGCGTCGGCCACGACAACAACTCTTCCTCTATTCAGCGGGTATTGCGGTGCAGACGTGGAGCGGATGATGGATCCAAGACATAGCGGGCCTGCTGGTGGTGGATGGATGAAATCCGATGTTGGACACAGAAAATACGTCTTTGTGAAAGCCATTGCTTCAAGTTGAGGATTCAGGTTAGAATTGCAGGCTTTTCTTTGGGCTTTCAGAACCCTGAACTCTTGTAGTAATAAAATTTATTAAATTTTTTTTAATGCTTTTCTAAACTTTCCTTCTTATATACTTGACAAAACTCCAGGTTATTTGTAGTCTTGCCAGAACTCTCGACTGCAGCTGTCCTTGAATAGAAGTACTCTCAGCGTCACGGGCTCACTACCCGTTCCTAGCTAGCTAAGTGAAGTTGCCTCAGGTTACTCTCCTCCTATATAGTCGTTGCTCCTTAGCAACCACCTTTTCTTCTTTGTAGAATATCAACATATCCACCCTAGTCCTACTAGTTACCACCGCACCGTGATACTCAGGGTTTGAGCACCCTGTCGCACCGGCTTACCCCTTTTTGCTTGGTACGCATTGGTTCCTTTACATCTTCTTGAGAACCCTGTTACTGTTGAATCCTCATCACGAATATATATATTCATAAGCATATGAGTGACCCCTTAGGTGCCACGAATCAGACCGAATTTTTTGTATAGAGATTAATAAATCAACTAAGATATCAAAATTCTAGAGTCTCTATTCAAATTTAATTTTTATTTTATAATATTACTATGATTCTGATGATATTCAATATAATTATCCAATATTTGTAATTAAGGTTTGTAATTTATTTTATCTCTTTAAAATCAAAGAGAAAGATCTAAATATCAATTATATATTATTATTTAATTTATAAATTATAATCTTTTTGCTATTAAAATAAAAATATTTGAAGATTATAAATACAATAATAATAACAGTCTATAAAAATATCAGTATTGAAATAAGTATCGATAGAATAATTTCAAAAATAAGTCATCGATACGGTTTAGTCGGAATGAAAAACTTCGAGTGCGTTTGATGTTACGACAGACTTGAAGCGCGACCAGTAGAATCAATTCAATTTCAGGGGGGGCTTGAAGTAGTGCAACCTGCAAAATGGGTTAGATAGCCCCGAGATTGGAGGCTTTTTAACCCCTGGGGGAAGAGCCTTTGTGGTGATAAATGGTAACTTACAATCTTGATCGATCATATTTGATTTCAGGGGCGTGATTTGTTTCAAAGCGTGTGATCTGAATGGTCGAGGCAAGTCGTTGAAGTAGAATGGTATGGGATAGCCGCCGACTTTGCATATCAAAACTGAGGTGGCAAAGCTGGGCCGCGTACCTGCATGCATGCCTGCACCTTGCCCTACCAATAACATTTCATTCACACACACCACACCGAGATTCCTTGCGCCCGTCGACCCTCGAATGCTGATCTGCATTTGCAGTTATATTTCGATACAGTGCAGTCCAAGAGATCATTGCTTCTATTTGTCAAGATTAGAGCTACGTCTAGGAATGGAATATTGGATTGTGCGAGGTAATATAAACATGGTATTCTGTACCTCGGCTGTTCTCAGCCAACTTGCATCGTGATCAGGTCGGTATGCCCGACCACATTGTGGACCCGTTAAAATCTCCTGATACTACGCCACAATCTATGCGAGGATATAACCCAACATCCGTTTTCCATTCCACACTATCGTAATATGGTGTTAATGTCTTATCTTCCCTACTATTCTATCGTATCTTCTTTACCCCATTTAACCGTGCTCTTGCCCTCCCCTCGGCAATCCAGCCCTGAGGTATCCTCTAACCTCATCTCTATCATCCAGGTGCTTCTTCGTCAGCATCGCTCAGACATTTCGGGAGAAACATCATGTCAGCAGCAGAACTCAAAAAGCGGCAAGTGCCACAAGTCGATATGAGCACCACGAACGGCGGCACGAATCAGTCAAGAGCTAAAGCTAAAGCACGAACCATAACGTGCCAGGAGATATCTGAATGGCAGTTCGACAACAAGTATATCCTCAGTGGTTATCGACGAGAGAAAGCCGACTATCTGGAAATCTTCACCAGCCTGACCTTTTTGCACAACGAGACTTGTAATGTGTACACTCATCTGGTCGGGGCAGTACTCCTTCCACTCATAGCGTCCATCTTCCTGCGCTTCCTGGCCGAGCCTCAATTTCACAATACATCGGGTTGGGACTATGCGATGTTTGGAATCTACTTTTGGTGTGCGGAGATTTGTTTGATCTTAAGCACGCTTTACCACCTGATGCTACCCCATTCGCACCCCGTAGAACAGTTCTGGCATGGAATGGATCTGCTTGGTATTGTCATTTTGACAGTGGGCACCTTCTCTTCCGGCATCTACTATGTATTCTTCTGTGAAGCGAGCTTGCAAAAATTACACTGGGCTATTGTTAGTCTCTCCCTGCAAACGTCGCCATTGACCCCACCCTCCGCCTGTGCAGCCGGGTCAGATCTTACAACACGCTGACATGAAATACAGATCTTAACCACGGGCACTACCACCGGTGTTCTGATCTCGCATCCCTCGCTTCGAACGCCGCGCTTGCGGAAAGTAAAGGTGGGGGCATTTGTCATTTTTGGTGCTTCATCGTCCATCCCCCTGCTTCACGGAGTTCAGCGATACGGGCTCGAATACATGCTCCAGTATGCGGGAATGAAATGGTATCTGCTCGAGCTTAGTTTCTATGGCGCTGGAGTTAGCCTGTACGCGGTATGTCTTCATGTTCGCTGCATTTCTCATCCTTCAACAGGCAAGAATTTTGACAAAATTTGCAGTTACGGATACCAGAGCGTTTGGCACCAGGTACATTTGATATTTGGGGAAGCTCGCACCAGATTTTCCATGTCGCTATCTTATGCGCAATGTACACACACCTGACTGCCTTGCTACAAGGTTTCACAAGTTACCATACATTGGATATATGTCAGCGTTAGGGTGTTTGTATGTGAGGGTTAGAACCATTGTATAATCAGGCAGTCTACTGGTTTGGAAAACTGCTCAATGGCTTCGCACTGCTCTGCTGAGAATATTAAATTGAAGAGACAAGGATATTCTAAGGTGTTAGGAGCCACTGTACGGAAGCACTTGGAGGGGTTTGAGCACCGGTATAAGACCGGCGCGCATTGAACTATGAATTAAAAAATTTCGGGTTCGCCAAATTGCGTGCGAATTGAATAAAATGGTTAAAGAGTGAAAACGAAATAGAGAATTCTCTTACTTGGTCGCTTTGTAGCCCTCTTCTTTCTTGGTGAAGACATTGTGAACTTGTTTGTATGTACGGATCCAAGTGATCAATGAATATATGCAAGTTTCACTAACTCCGAAGCAGTCTTGCGCAGGTAGTCAAAAACGGGTAGATTTTTGATGTTCTGAAATTGATTTGGCAGTAAAGAGGAGAAGATGTGATGCGACGCCCGAACTGATTCTTATATATAAGTTTGGACAATAGTTCAGGAGAGAATTCTATATATAACAAGATGCGATTTACATATAATAATATAATGAATTTGCGAATTGAGCAGAATAATGAACAATAGTGTCACGGGTTCAATACGTAGTTATGTGGATGCCTTAGGCATCCGCCCTCCATATAGTCGGCGCCTCTCCGCCTCCTTCACTCCTTGTAGAATATCATACATCTTACCTAGTACCTATCTCTTGCACCGTGATAAATAGAATGATTGATAAAGATATGTTTTTTGACAAAGACGCTGGAGAAAATTCCTTTAGCTCTAGCGCCTAATCACTCTCAAGTGACCAGCAAAGTCGAAATCTTAGCCTGTATTTCGGCGCTGGCTACGAACCTTTGGTTGCAATAATATTATAAAGCCAATGAGATTAAAGCACAGTTGATGGAGTTATAGTGGTTTAGTTATTGTAATTCAAGATTTTTTATGATGCTGAAATTTTTTCAATTAAACTGATACTAGATTGTACAAAACAGAAGACTATCACTAAAATGAGTATAAAAACCATCCAACTATAGACTATACAATTCTCTGATCTATAATCAGATTCACTTTCGATTCTATATATTAATTACCTAAACAACATTAACTATATCATATAAATAGGATATCTCTAAGGTGATATGAAATTTTTTATAAGATACAAAAGGGTTTTTTAGGACTATAGTATAAGTAAATCAATTGTGATTTTATTGATAATTATGAATTTCCCTTTGTAATAAAAAATTCGATATTAAAGAGAATAAAGTATTTAATAAAGAAAGGAATAATGTGATTTATTATCGAGTGGATTATATTATTAAATAAATCACTTTAAAATCATATCAAAATTAACCTTTTCTTAATATTCATATTTTAATAATTAATCTACACTTTTTGAAGAAAAAAAAAATTTAAAAATAAAAAAAATTATATAATCAAAAATTATAAACATTTTTATTATATTCTAAAAACAATTGAAATTGTTACGATTTTAGTTACAAAAATACTATTTTTATAATAATTATTATTATATAAAATCTAATTTCTAATAATTAATTAGAAGTTTATATTATTTATATAGATAATTAGAATAATTAAAGAAAAAAATTAAATTATTAATAAATAAAGAAAGTATACGGTTATATATAGACGAATTTTATATATAAACTAAGTGATTTATTCAATAATATAATCCACTCGATGATAAATCATATTAGAGACATATAAATTATTACGCGAGTATAGAAATTGTTAGAGTGTATACAAGGTGACGACTAGTATAGAATATAGATATAGACCTAATAATAAGACTTTTTATTAATTTCTTCAAAAACCTATTCCTGAAGCTATATATATATATAAAAACTCTTCAATATTGGAATAATAGTTAATTCGATATTGGTTTTATATTAATACTTGTAATAGAGCTCTCTTTTTTAAGGCTTTTATTCTTAAAAGTTTTAAAGCTATTTAATAGTTAATTACTACAAAATCAACCTCTTTTTCTAAGTTTTATTAAATCCTATAGTATAAGCTAATTGTATAATGCTTATATCCTTATTTTATAAGGTTTAGCTTCTTTATAACTCTTTTCAAAAACTATATTATAATACAAGAATATTAAGAATTAATTTAATTCATATAATTCAATCCATATAATTCAATTTATATAGTTTAATTCATATAATCCAATTTGTATAATCCAATTTATATTTCGAAGTTTGAAAACCTTAAAAAATTCGAAAAATTCGAAAAAAAGTCGATTTGCTTTTAGTAGAGTGATAGTTTATATTTAATAGAGTTTTGCCTTCCCCTTTTTAGGCTTTTATTTCTAAAAGTATATAAAATATATAAAATTAGAATTCGATAGTAGTTTACTAATGAATAACATTCTATATTCTAAAAGTCCTAAAAAAATAATGGAACTATATAAACTAACCAGGCTAATACTCTTAAAATCTGAAAATCCTGAAAATCCTGAAAATCCTGAAAAAGACCTGAAAATCCTGAAAATCCTAAAAAAGACCTAAAAATCCTAAAAATCCTGAAAAAGATCTAAAAATCCTGAAAATCTAGGAAATTCAGAAAAAGCCTCAAAATAGAAAAGCTTTACTAGTTTCTTATTAAATCCTTAAAATCTAAGGGAAATCCGGAAAATATAAAAGATACTTGAGTTCTGAAATCTTTGAAAATTCTGAATATAGTATATTTATATTTCTTTATTAAGATAGAGCAATTTCAATAAATACTATTCTATTTTTGACTAAATATAAGTTATTTAATAAAATATTGATTATTTATAATTAACTTTAATTAATAATCTTATTAATTATAAAATAATTAGTTAAACTCTTTCTTTTATATAATACTATATAAAAGCTCTGTTTTTTTAATAGAGTTTATAAGAATATTACTAATATCTTGTAGATATTGTCTAGGGTAGAATTTGTTTATAGAAAAGACTCTCTTTTTCTTTCTAATTTTTTTTTTTTTTTGTTTTATTATTCTATTTTATTTCAAAAGAATATCGAAGATATATTGCGAAAGTGTTTTAGGCATTTTTAAAGAACTTATATTAAAGGTTTTTTTTTTAACTTTCAATTTAATTTTTATAAATGAGATAGGGGTTATCTTGATTTGAATAATATTGATTATATACTAATAGTATATTATAGATATATTGTAGTCTAAATGAGATTTCAAGCTTTTAAAGCTTTTAAAGCTTTTCCTAGAAACTAATTAATGACTTACTCTAAAGAATTGAATAAAAAGAATTATTAAAGTATATACAAAGTAACAACTAGTATAGAATATAGATATAAGCTTAATAATAAGACTTTTCATTAATTTCTTCAAAAACCTATTCTTAAAGCTATATATATATATGAAAACTCTTCAATATCGAAATAATAGTCGGCCCGATACCGGTTCCATATCAATGCCTATAACAGAAGTCTAAAAGAATAATAGAGATCTATAATCCTAAAAAGAATAAAATTATATTCTTAGAGAGATATAGCCTAAATAGCTTTTATAAAAAAAGGATTACTATAGAGATAGACTCAATAATAATAATATAGAATTACTTTGTTATCGATAGTACCTATCCTTTCTTCGTTTATATAATAGAAATACAACTATATATCTTATAAGACAAAAAGCTAATAAATCTATATATATAACCAAAGTCCCCTAGGATCATTAGAAAACTAGGGATTATAAATATTTATTAGAAAAAACCAATTTTTTTAATTAATAGAAAGGAAATACAATCTCTATACTATCTAGCTAGAAATATAAAGGTAATAGTTTCTATTAAATATAATCAGATTTATTATTATTGGAAATCACATGTATAGTACGTGTATAATATATACACACCACTATAAAACTCCTTCTTCAGACTTCCCGAATATATAAACCATATATATATATTTCAATATATTACTCCTTATATATAATTTGCTATTTACTACTAATAAATTATAAATACTATATTATTATAAGCTTCATTTTTTTATATATATCTCTATATCCCTTGAGTCTTAAGTTCTTATTCCCTTATAACTATTTTTATTCTTGATATTATAGCAAACAAGATTACTATTAATATAATCCAAACAAAATAAGAAACATTAATTACTTTTAACAATTATAACTGAATAGACTTTTATAAAGTTATTCAAACTACTATAATAATAGTATTTATACTGTCCCTATATATAAAGAGAAGTATAAGATTAGTAAGCAATCAAGTGTTACGGGAGCTGCCTCTAGGGTCACATGGAAGTGTCTAGAGATCTCTCAAAATGGTTTAGATTAAATTTCAAATAGGAATTCAATAAGATTATAACTAATTGTAATTCTTATAACTATAATAATAAAACTAATAATTATTTTTAAACATAAAGCTCTATATTATAATAAAACCTATTCCCTATATAAACCTTCATACTGAAGTCGACCAACAAATCGATTAATAAATTGATTAATAAATCGATCGACTTTTGATTACATAACATTTATCCTATGATTTCTATTATCCTAACTTATTCTTTTATCCTAAAGCTAATCCCCTAGGATATTACTAATTCTAATAAAACCTTCTTACTTACTATATTCTATCTTTCCTAAGATCTATTATCCTGAAAACTATATTCTAGGTTTCTAGGATATCCTATAACTAATATTATATATATACCTAAAGCTTTCCTTGAGTACCTAGTATCCCCTGGTATACTGCAGCTGAATTACTAAGGCCTATAATACCATTATAGCTTATAGATTAGTAATTCCATAGCCTATTACTAATCCATTATAATACTATCCCCTTCTTAGCCTAACACTTATCCCAAGCATTTATATTAGTACGTTTTCTTTTTTATCTATTTAAATAATTATAGTGTTTTCTTTTTCATTATGCTTCCTATATAAATAGCTTTTGTTTATAATATTCTCAATTTGGTTTATTATATCAAGTGTTC